ATATTTATGTCGATAAGAGTAAATCAAAGAATAACAAAATTACAATGATAAACACTATACATGACAATAAATCAAAGTGAATACTTATTATTATAGTATAAGTGCAATAGAATACTGCTGTGTGTCTTTGTGTGTTTGGGCGTGCATGTATGTGCGTTTATGCACGCGTTTGTGTGTTTTTGTGTGATTACATCTACAGAGTGTCTGTTTAGTCTGTGACCATAATTGGACTTTGCTGCTGGCTCCTGGTGTGGACTCAGTGATAGTTTTAGCAATAGTCCACTTTTCTGTGGCTTTTTTGGGGTGCTCCGCTGGTCTGCTGCTCTGACCCTCCACATGGTCTGCTGCTCTGACCCTCCACGTGGTCTGCTGCTCTGACCCTCCACATGGTCTGCTGCTATGACCCTCCACATGGTCAGCTGCTATGACCCTCCACATGGTCTCTGTCAGCTCTGGAGACACATTTACTGCTCAAACTGCCTCCAAATGTAGCCTGACCCTGACTATATTACTCCATGTCTGCTTCACCTCTGTCTCTCCTGCTCAGAGTGCTCAGAGTGATCTTTGACCAAACCAGGGAGTTCTGCTGCCACCTGCTGGCCTAATAAAATATTGTGTACAGCCAAACCCCAGACTGTATGATACAGGGGGCACAGACTGACAGGAAAATCCATGGGATGTCATTTGGAATCCATGGGATGACATCCATGGGATGTCATTTGAGAATGAGTTAATCTCAATGGGACTTTCCTGGTAAAATAAAAAAAAATAAAAAAATAAAAGTTTTTTTTTTTTTTACAGATTTTTTTTTTTTTTCACAGATTCTATGGCGTACCCCAGTTTGAGAAACACTGGGTTAGACTGACAAATCTAGGTGTCCCATCATCACCAACCATTCAGACACACACACACACACACAGTCATAGTGGGTACTGTGTGTTATGTGTCTAAGTGTACTGTGTGTCTTTCTGAGTGGAGCTTGCATGTTCTCCCCGTGTTTGCGTAGGTTTCCTCCGGGTACTCCGGTTTCCCCTACCACTAAAAATATGTACAATAGGTCTGGCATGCGCCTCCTGTTTGACGACCCCGCTCCAATCTCTGTGTGGAGTGAGAGGACAAGTGCCCAAAAATAATAACAATTGTAAACCGCTTTGCGATTCTGGCCTGTGAAAGGCGGTATATGAATAAATAAAGATTACTTACTTACTTAAGAGTTTAGCACTTACTGTAACTGTGGCACTTGTGATACCTGGTGTTTCCAGCAATCTCCCATCACAGCACTGTCCAGGCCCTGCCCTGCTTAGTTACTTCAGTCTGATGAGATCAGGTTTGTCACATGCAGTTGGCCCCACAACATACATCCACGCAAATTGTGGTGGTGAATACGACACAGCTATGTTTATGTTTTCAATGTATTTTGGCAAAGCTCCATGCCATGTACTGTACATGGCATGGAGCTTATAGCCATATTGTTCAACTTTGATGGATTTTACTGTAGCTCATATCATGATTAAATCCAGGTCAAAGCATTGGAAAGAAATTAAAAAATATCCACTAATATTATATTGTTTTGAGACTTGTCACATGGGATTGTAAACCTGCAATAGACTTTTCTGTTTGAGAAGTTGGAGGAATGGTTAGGATTCAGTAGCTTCAACATCTGATGCATTTGCACAAACAATTCATGTCTAAACACGTCTCTCCTTTTACGAGCTACAGGTGCACATGTGAAAGAGGCTCACAGCTTGATAAAGACTTAATAAAAATCAGGTTTGAATGAAAAACAAAGACCCTGTATGAAGACAGTTGGGGACAGCAGTCTTCCTGTGGTAAATATAGGTCACCACTTTTAAATACTTTGAACTGACTGTGTACAGTTGCTATGCAACTGTGCTGCAGGAGACAGGTGAAAAGATGGGAAATATGTGGTTTTCGCGCCCCCTGGTGGTTGGTTTTTATATTATACTCAAAGTGATATTTAATTTGTAGTAAGCACAGTACACACACAAAACAATACAAACAATATTCATACAATACAATAAAACAAAGTAAATATGATTGATTGTAAGATTGATAAGTTTTAGTCCAAACACAATGGATATATCATGTAAGATGTACTACTACGGCCATGTCCCAATATCCACACTGCACCCTACACTCCTCTACGAATTTTTTTCGAATTTTGTTTGAAGTGCACGCAAGGGTTTGAATGTGCAGGTTACATGCAAAAAAGGCGGAATTGGGACAGTGCAGGTTATATCATCGACTAGTCAAGAGGTGGTCATTTGATTTCAGACCTAAACTTTATAAAAAGTTGGTGCAGTTCTAACCGGCCATCATCGAGTTCATCCTCACCTCCTCCATCACCGTGTGGTTCGCTGGAGCCACAATCAGGGACAAACAGAGACTACATATGGAGGACCAAAAATGACTAAAGTATAAATAAATAAATAAATAAATAAATACAGGAATATATTAATAAATACATTCATTTTGGACAATAAAAACTAAATATTTACATTGATGTGTTAAATATTACTATGAAATCAAATAAATATACTTTTATTTAGGTTATTTATCAATATCTACATTTCTTCATTTATTTATTTATGTATTTCTACATTTCTTCATTTATTTATTTATGTATTTCTGTGTCGCTACATTTCTTCATTTATTTATTTATGTATTTCTACATTTCTTCATTTATGTATTTCTACATTTCTTCATTTATTTATTTATGTATTTCTGTGTCGCTACATTTCTTCATTTATCAATTTATGTATTTCTACATTTCTTCATTTATTTATTTATGTATTCCTGTGTTGCCGTATGCTAATTAGGCGGGCGGTGCTGAACTCAATCAATAGCAGGATTGGTGGGCAGTAGGTCAGCCAGGGCAACCAGACAGAAGCAAAGTTAGCCTTCTCGGTTTGTGAGAGGATGTGAAGCTGCTGTATAGCTTGTTGAAGAGCGTCCAGCACAGTTGCATCAAAGTCTACCTCTGGGTCAGCACTGTGATGAACTAAAACATCTTTCCAGCCGAAAGAGTAGATAGTCCTCAGGTGCATTATGCTCAACATCATTAACATCATTTGCTAATGCTCTTAATTGATGAGCAATGGCTCCTAAAAAACTTACATTCGAAACTGCCATCATACCACACAAAAGTGCACAGAGGATCTCTAGCTAGCTAACCGAGTACCGTAATGTGAGGCAGTAATGATAGAGACCAGAGTTCACGCAATCCTAACCAATCCTGTTCTAGATTGAGTTCAGCACCGCCCACCTAATTAGCATACAGGAAAACAAAAATAAATAAATAAATAAATGAAGAAATGTAGAAATACACAAATAAATAAATGAAGAAATGTAGCGAAACAGAAATACATAAATAAATAAATGAAGAAATGTAGAAATACATAAATAAATAAATGAAGAAATGTAGAAATACATAAATAAATAAATGAAGAAATGTAGAAATACATAAATAAATAAATGCAGAAATACATAAATAAATAAATGTAGAAATACATAAATAAATATATGCAAAAAATGGATAAATAAATAAAGGAAAAAATGTAGATATTGATAAATAACCTAAATAAAAGTATATTTATTTGATTTCAGAGTAATATTTAGCATATCAATGTAAATATTTAATTTTTATTGTCCAAAATGAATGTATTTATTAATATATTCCTGTATTTATTTATACTTTAGTCATTTTTGGTCCTCCATACTTGTAGGAGGTAGAACACAGATGCGCTGATTCATTATTGCACAAACAAATACATATAAAAGACAATAAGACGCAGCAAATTATGAGCAATTAAATTTGGGCCATTTAAATATTTGAGTGCAAAGGATAGAGCTATAAGACATACATGTAGCAACGACATTTATTTTGGTAACTTATGTAAGTTAAAGGAACTATGCGTTTTCTGGTGAGGTTTAGATAAGACTAGGATCCCGTTCCCCCGCCTCCCTCTACCTATCCATCTTGCTCCCTCCCTCCCCTCCACTCCTCATTGTGTTTCCGACTCACCCCCTCCCTGACCCCGCCCCCCTCTGACAGCCACATTGGGCCGGCAGTCGGAGGTGCTCATCCCGAGAAAAAAAATCAGTGGTTTATACAAAGCACAATGTGTCTATCCAACTGTCTGTGAAACTGTATGTTATTGCTCTCTGCTGTTTATTCTACTGTTTGTCGCATGGCGCCGTAAAGATGGCGCCGTGGCAAGAGCTCTGGTGTGTGTCGTCTTCTGTCTGGTGCACACCGGGGTAGTCTTGCACAGTTTTTCCTATGTGGTTTTACTGCAAATGGCAAATAAATGAATCTGAATCTGAGGTAGCCCGAGTAGATCTTCAGCTTCAGCTTGTTGAAATGTCACTCCTCTTGCCTTCATATAGATCCTTCAAATGAATGTTTGTCCCAAACATTCAAAAAGACACATTATAACGTTTTTCTTTATTAACATTAGGATGCTGCATAACAATGAAAGACTTGTAGGAGGTAGAACACAGATGCGCTGATGCATTATCGCACAAACAAATACATATAAAAGACAATAAGACGCAGCAAATTATAAGCAATTAAATTTGGGCCATTTAAATATTTGAGTGCAAAGGATAGAGCTATAAGACATACATGTAGCAACAACATTTGTTTTGGTAACTTATGTAAGTTAAAGGAACTATGCGTTTTCTGGTGAGGTTTAGATAAGACTAACTGGCATTAACTGTCTCATTCTGCTTTCTGTGATATTATGGCCGTTGTTTCTTAAAAGAGTAATAAATCAGGATAAATATTTTGATCAGAAGCCATTCATAATTTTTTACATATGAACCTTGTGTCTCAGGACACGGATAAAATATGTATTTTAAATACATACAGTTTGTTTTAAAAGACAAAATGTGCAGATATAATAATTTATTTTACAAACCGTGAATTTACAAATTCAATTGAAATTGTTTCCCAAAACCATCACCAGTTTATCTGTTCAAAGATGTGGACTGAAGTAAGTAGGCTGTACAAACCCACTGGACACAAAGGGATGCAAGAGCCCTCCTGTGGATGTGAGCGGGACTGCAGCGGCTGTATGGAAGACCATATTCCCAGAGCTGAAGTTTGGGAAAGTCTGATGGAAGTTGCTTGGACTTGGACTGACACTAACCACACTGTTGCCTGGAGACTGTAAAGTGCTGTCCGCTCCTGGGTTCTGCTTTTTCCACTTGGTCCTCCTGTTTTGGAACCAGATTTTGACCTGAGTTTCTGTGAGGCTCAGGGACAGGGCTAGGTTGAGTCTCTCGCACACAGACAGATACCGTGTGGTGCGGAACTTGTTCTCCAGAGCCACCAGTTGCTCATATGTGAAAGCAGTCCTGGCACGACGTGGTTTGGCACAGGTGGAATCATGGCGGCGGCGTTTGTGAGGGGAGTGGTCCCTGTGGTCTACAGTGACCGAGGTGCAGTCTGCAATCTCCTGCTCCACGCTGAGACAGGGCTCCGGGTCAGAGGGAGGAGAGGGAAGCAGGCCAGGGGTGTCTGAACGAGACATCAGATCTTCCTCTGCTCTAGTGTCTTCTTCTGCCAAGAGAAAACGGTGGGAACTTGAGGAATGGAGTTCAGAAAAATGTTTTATACAATAGAAAAAGGTATAGTCAAATTAGAGCGACTATATGCGACATATCAGTGTTTTCATCCTTTTTGAGTGTTATTCCACATTTTTACATATCTCTTTATAGAGCAATGTATATTCATTCATTCATCCTCTTTGTCCATTTCTGGGTTGGAAATGTATATTCTTTTTTCTTATTTATTTAGATCTGAAGTTTTTTAAGTAACTCAAGAAGGGTAAATGTATTCAAGTGTGTGTGAATTGGCCTGGAATATGATTGTCTTTACAAAACAAAAAAAACAGTTCTGAATTGGAATAGTTCCAGAATACTCTGATGGAATTAAAATTACAGAAACATATAGGCTACAATAAAGCGAGAGACAAAAAAGCTATGCCAAAGAATGTATACTAAAATATAACGTTCGCTATTCTCATATTTAATCACATATATTTACCATTAAATTAAATTAATTAAGAGAACAAAATACGTTTAATATAATGTGTAATCTGTTATGTATTTATGTTTGCCTATTGTTTGTTTGTTTGTTTTGTGAAAGAAAGAAACTGCGACTGTCTGACTTGGTTGTGGTGCTGAAAGAACAGCTCCTTTCCAGACGTTCAGGTGCGCTTTGGTTCAGAAAGAAATGTCTTTGGTTGAAATCAGTTCAAGCCGCTTTTAGCTGTTCTTTCACCCTGTCCTGTCCAAAGAGTGCGTTTAACACCCTGGAGGCATCCAAACATAACGGGGCATTAGGCGGAGGTGCAGCCTGGTCACTAATCCTTACATAATTTATAAAGCCCACAGCGCGTCTCAAAATGTAATGTTGCGGAAAAGAAATCCTGTCTAAATCCTAAGTCCTCGCCTCACCCCCTCAGCCATGACGTGCTAATGGAGTTTCATATTTGCACTCGGATCGATAAATGTCATCTATTTAAAGGGAAGTTTGAATCGAGCGATATTTTGGGATCAGACATGGAAGGGGTGTGAAGTTTGTACCTGCAAGGTGCTGGAGGGAGATATGCAGGATGCAGTAATGGGATATCGATCAAAGCCTGCGCGGGGCATCCTCAATGGGACGATTTAAACAATTATCTAGGCTGCCTGTCCCAGTGCCAATCACACACCGACACCGGGGCTTTGGGAGCGAGCCTTTGTGGCTATGATCAAAGGAAACGCAGCTTTCAAAATGAGAGGAAGGTCACTCACAGATGACAGCAGTTTGATAGAAAACGTCAAAATGTGTCGCAAAAAGTTTAGGCAACTGCAATCAAGATCAAGTCTGTGTTGAATAAGCTGAATGTTATAATTCTGTTGACACAGCGGCCTATAATGAATGCATCAGTCCTTCCAAGCTAATTTGACTAACTTCAAGTCGGGCTCAATATAATGTCTATTATTTGTTTTTCTATTTTTATAAATGTATTTAAAATATATATTTGGGCGGGCACGAGCGCTGGGAGCGGTATTATTTTCCCCAACGCAGATCTGCTGTTTACAGATTCACACATTTTCTCATAAATGCCCAACCTTAAAGTTAATAAAATGTTTAAGAATCTAAATCTTTTTAAAACCCTGGTTTTGACCTCGTTGTAGGAAAAATATATTGCCAGAAAGGAAAACAAAACCCATAAGAGTGTCACGGTAGAACTGGGTTGAGGAAAAATGAAGGCAAAGTTGAATCACACACGTGCGCGTCGGTTGGCTAGCTTCCCGCTTGTTTATAACTTAGCTGCTAACAAAGCTATCTAACATTACCCATTGGGATTTGAATGAAGTTATTAATGCCACATGTTATAGTACAAATCCTTTTTACCTTCTAGCGTCCTCTCTGCTCCACTTTCATTGCCACTTGTGACCGGACACGTCTCTTTCCTGGGGCCACCACCTGTCCTCCCGCCGGTGAACTTGTCCGGGTCCAAGATGTCCACGATGGAGAATGAAATCTTGTGCGTGGTCATCTTCAGCCTGATCTCCCCGTGTAAGTCCAACATCATTCATCTATGTTTTTGTGGAGGGGAATCTGGTCATGTCCTGGGAGTCGGTGCTCAGGTCTGCGGTGGTCTCATCAGTCCCCGGGATGTGGATGAGGAGCAGGGAGCCCCCCTCTTTTTAAAGCCCTGTCCCCCTGAAGTCTTTGAGGCAGACACGTGACACGGCACTATTAGCGCTTCACACGACCACCTAATGGGCTCAAAGCTTTCGTCGATAATCACCCATATCATTAAATTCAATAAGCCTCGACCTGAGCGTAAACTGCGCACAGATGGCTGAATTAGACATTGTCCCATATCTAAAATGAAACATAAGCACAGGCTACAGAAAGAGCACACATTTAATAGATACAGATATTGCTTTGCCTTTCAGATATTGTTTTCACTTATCGTGTTAAACTTTTAGACATTTCCATAGTCAACCGACCTCCAAAGTTTGAAAAAAGACCACAAAAATGTAATCTGACCACTTTGAATTATTTTTTTAAATGTTTACATGCTCTTTCTTATCATGTATTTTGTCATGTGTTTTAGAGTTGGCAGAAGGTCGAGTGTAGGAGTAACTAGTTTAGTGATGTATTACTGTAATATATTGGGTACTTATAACCCAATATATTACAGTTCCTATAACTTATAGTTAACTTATAGAGTTCCTATAAAGTATCTTATAGGAACCCACAGAGTTAATGACTTATTACTTCAATATTCTTGCACTAGAGTGTATTACAGATTTATAGACGTGCAGTATGCAGAAGAGTATACAATTTAGTATTATGTATATTGTGTGCACCGAGAGCACTTGCAGTAATAATTGTACTTTTACATTTTTTATATTTTAGAAAATGTTATACTCTAGAAATGTTTTAATATGCCTTGTTCTTTCTTTACTTTTGACTTGTTTGCACCGAGAGCCAAAGCAATTTCCTAGTCTATGACTTCCTGTTACATGATGTCAGAATAAAAAGAATCAATCAAGATTATGTATATAATATTTATGTTTATGGTTTTCAATTTCAAAAGTGAAATGTAGCTGGTGTTGGCTCTTTGTTGTTGTCATAAACAAAAAATAGCACCTCATATTTGTTTCAACAAATGAAAGTCATATGCAATACACAGAGTTTGTACCGTTTCTAGCTAAACTCCAGCAGGTGGATTTCTTCTAAAATCAGATTCTGGAAACAAAAGTTGGATTGAAATTGTGAAATTGTGGGTTGACTTTGTGGTCTACCACTAATGCACGATACAAAACTGTACTTACTTTTACTTTACTTGATTTAAAAGACGACCTTTATAGTTAATAAATGTTATACAACATGTGTGGAACAAAAAATAATAATAATCTGGACACTATCATAAAAGTGTTCTGGACTGAAGATAACTCAAAGTAGTTTATGTCAATGCTGCTATAATTTTTTTTCATTTTTTTTTATCCCAATAGTAATTTAAGCATTACCATTTCAGAGTTAATTAACACTGCCAGTCATTACATTTTTGATTATAATTCATGTTATTAGTTGAGCAGACAAGATGAGCAGACTAGTTACAGCCTTATAAGCCATGTTTATGGATTCTATGTATTCTTTTAAATGCAAAGACGCACTGGCGGTGGTCACTCAACACATGTGATTGTTTTCTCACTGAGAGTTTTATATTCACAATCAATGAGCTCCCAGTCTTTAACCATTAGCATTCAATACCAAGTGACACAGGCTTGTTCAAGCCCTGATGCCCGCTGATGGCTCAAATGGTGAAACCAACAAAGGATCGATATTCCCAGCAGCTGTCCAATACAGATAAAGCGTGATGGCCACAGTCAGACAGACATCCTTTTGGAGACAGAGAAGCCACACCAGCCACAGATCTTACCGGAGCTTGCAGACAGTCTCTTGACCTTGTAATAAGTAATTTTGAAGTAAAGGAGGCTTTCCTAGATTCAGTGAGCTTAGCCTGCTAATACAAACCGCTAATGCTTACACTTTACATATCTTACAGTTTAAGCTGTGAGGTCCACTGTATTTGCTTTTGTACCATATCATGACAATTGGAACTGACTCTGACAATGCTTAGAGTCCCGCTTCTCTTTGGACAATTTCCTGTGCCATAGTGCCACTCACATGGTGTTTAGTCTGCTGTGAGGAGGAGCCCTCGTGGTCTCGTTCTGTACAGGAGTTGTTCCATATGAATAGAGCCTGCTGGACACTGGAGCTTTTACAACTTCCTCTGAGTGAGCCCGGCCGGACATCTGGTTACGTGGGGCAGCCTTGAGGACAAAGACGCCCCTGGGTGTAGACTTCATACAGCGGGAACATCAGTTGAGTCTGTGTGGACCTCAGCAGAGCAGTACAGGGGAGGAGCAGACCACATCGGAACACCGCAGGGGTCAGAGGAGACACACTTCCACCCAGGACCCCCGCCAGGCTCTGTAAAGTCATTACACAGGCTGCCTCGGGTCTGCTAAACGTCACATCATTTGTCTAATGGCAGCAGTGGTGGTTATGAGGTTCACTTCACTCACAACTGTTGATCCCCACAGTCTCCACAACTGTCCTGTAAAGAAGGGCACATAATAGAGCAGCAAGACACCAGTCAGACATTAGGAGCCTGTTAGATTTTTCATGGCAAATTCTTGAGCGCTGTACCGCCAATAAGTGCGTAGCAACAGGGAAACAATCTGCAATCGCACGACATCCTGACTTTAAAGGTGCATGTTCTGCTAATGGGATGAGTCCATGTTTGTCACCATGGAGATGTGTGGCTTTGCCCGGAATGGCAATAAAGTTTTATTTCTTCAGCATGTGTTTTTATCTATCAAAACTGTAGGTTTGTATTGTGCACAGGCTGCTCTCTCGCAGGGCAGGGCCTGGGTAATGTTGTGATGGGAGACCGCTGGGAATACCAGATGCCACAGGGAGGTGGCTGAAAAGCTGTTTAATGCCATACTGTCATTGTGTCCTTAGGCAAGACACATCATCCACATTGCAGAGTATAAATCAGGTGTGTGAGTGGTTGCAGGAGCTGATAGCACAGAATAGTAGCCATCTGTCACCTACATTTTCTCTCCCTAAAACCTTCAAACCAGGTCAGAAATCTAGGGGTAATACTGGACTCAGACATTTTTAATAGCCACATCAAATCAGTAACATCAGCAGCTTTCTACCACCTAAAAAACATTGCCAGGATCAAAAACATAGTGTCTAAAACAGACCTGGAGATTCTTATCCATGCATTTGTATCCAGTAGGTTAGACTACTGCAATGGCCTGCTCACAGGTCTGTCCAAACAGGCTGTAAAACAGCTGCAGTACATTCAAAATGCAGCAGCTCGAGTCCTGACTAGAACCAGGAAGTACGACCACATTAGTCCGGTCCTCAGGTCTCTGCACTGGCTTCCTGTGGCTCAGAGAATAGACTTTAAAACAGCTCTGCTTGTGTACAAGTCTCTCCATGGCCTCGCACCAAAATATATTAGTGACATGTTAGTCCCATACGAACCGGCTCGGACTCTGAGGAGCACAGGGACTGGACTCCTGTTAGTGCCCAGAGTCAGAACTAAACATGGGGAGGCTGCTTTTCAGATTCATGCTGCTAAAATCTGGAACAGTCTTCCTGAAGATGTGAGACAGGCCTCCTCTCTGACAATGTTTAAGACAAGGTTGAAAACAGTGCTGTTTAGCTGTGCATACAACTGATTGATTTTATATTTTCATCTTTCTTTTTAATGTACTGTGATTATTTATGATTTTAATGCTTTCTTATTTTGTTCAGCATTTGAGTTGCCTTGTGTATGAATTCTGCTATACAAATAAACTTGCCTTGCCTTGCCTAGTAGTATCACTTCTATCAGTCTGCCCCAGGGCAGCTGCGGTTACTGTAGTAGTTTACCACCACTTTGTTAATTTGATTTAAAAAGGTCTTGGTATCTATTATTGTATCTAATATCAATAGCTATTTGAATAATGTGTATGCCTAAATAGTTTTTACATGAAAAGTAAGCCTTGTGAGAAAAGCTACATAATTTTTTAATTTTTAATGTTTTTGATGCTTTTGATGCTTCCACTTAGTCGACCAAGAATTTCTTCTTCTTCTGGTTGACAACAGCCCAAATCACATCCCATATTTACTCAACATTTCAGATCATTGCAATTTTGCTCATAATCTTTTCTACAAACAAGCAAAAATACTATATGGTGAAGTAATTATTATTTGAACTATTGCCTTTTGTTAAGTGCAATGAAGATCACAAAAGCCACAATCACTCCCAAAACAAAAACATCACCATGGAACTATTTCATTTAATTCACTGAAATGGAAACATCTGCTCCTCTGTTTTTAAGTAATTGACTTATTTGAAACCTCCTGGTTAAAACGACTTCACTCTATTATTGTTCCAACAGTGATGTCGACAAACTTGCTCCAGTGAAACCTCAGCGTGCCTGACTCTCTCTTTGACAACAAGGTCAGTGGCATTGCCCAGTAATTGTCCTAACGGCCCGTATACCTGTTGGGTGGAGGCGAGTAATGAGAGTTTTTCATTACAGGCGGGACGGGTGAGTGCGCCTGGCAGATGCTGACAGGCAGCAGATGTGTAAAGTTGGGGGATGATTTGTAAAGGGGTCAACAGCATCACAGAAGATGGAGGGCAACTCGCGCCCACTGGAATTTGGCTGAGGGACACTGTCAGTCACGGGCCCCTGTCACAGAGGTAAAGGTCGGTTCAAACGCCACCAGTGCACGGCCCAGTTCAGTCTGCATAGGTGGAGATAAAGATGTCTTGTGTAGGCATAGTTCAGTACAGCATGTATTGTAAAGTAAAGTGTTAGTCAAGTAAGTAGTTACAGCCTTAAGATAGTAACAGTAACAACACAAAATATCTCCACACACTACTGTGTTTATTATTCCAGCTCTCATTGTCTGGTTATTCCACATTCAATATGCTCCATGTTGAAGCTATTTGTCAACAATTGTAAT